TCTCCACTAACAGAGCCTGTGCGAACCGGCTGTTCTTTTAACATCCTCAAATTCATCTACACCGGTCGTCTCACATGCAGGCCCCTCAGACAGAGAACGCTGGGAGTTTAAACATCCATAAGCATTGCGGTTTGTACTTAGACTAGGCCTGACCGCTGAGCCATCTTGTAGGATCAGCAAACCTTTGGTAACCTGAAGAACCTGTTTCTTTGTGGGGTTCATACAGGGTGATTTTCCCATTTGCATACACACCGCGCATCTCTCTCTTCCTTCCCGTCTCTCTTTCGCCTAGACTGAAGAGTCATAGAAACAGAACTAGTTCATTTCGTGTTAATTTCCGTAGCCTATTTATTTTCAATTTTACCAACGACAGTAAAGAGCACTAGAGGTCTTTGGAGGGAGACAAAAGTCTGTTAAAAATGGAACGACGTACAACGACTCGTCAGCCGTAGGGGTTTCACGGCCCTCTCGATCGGTGTGGACTCTGCACGTAAAGGAGCCATTTATGACTTCTAGCAAACTATAGTAAAAGCGTCCAACCGGTTAAATTCATCTGTTGTCTTCTGTGAATTACTGGGTCATCTGACAGTTTTTTGATACTTACGAATGTGTTAGTTCCTCCAACTGTATAAGCTGCTTTGCTTAAAAAAGCCCAGAACAAAAATCTCTCAAATATTTGGATGGGTGGAACGTGGATTCGAGTTTGCCCGGGGGCATAGTTCTCAATAATGTCGCAAGGTTGTTACACACCAAGTGCATTTAGCCAAACTTATCCATTAATATCGTTTATATCCGAAAACGTCGTATTTCTTTTAGCGCTTCTCTAGACCACCCCTGGCTCCGGAAAATGGGTGCATTCCTTCACGAATATCCTCTGTTGCACATCAAATTATTTGTATGCAAGTCTTCAAATAGATGTTCCAAGAAGGCAACATAGTCACCTGAACAATAAATTTATTCGTTTTTGGTTCGAGTGTGAGTCAGCGTGTGCACACTTGTCTCCGACCGATTCATACGTGTACACACACGCACATAACAACCGGTGGGCCACGAAGCCTCACAAGCAAAGCGTATTTATTAGTCTCCTGGTAGAGCGCGCGAAGATATGAACTCCGAGGACAGCCGTAGAGGCAGAGTCAAGTGAAAAAGGTCAGCCATCGGTCTGTCTCATCGGTCTGGTCATCTCTGCCTCTCGCAGTCTGTGTGAATCACTTGCTGCTGTCTACTTCTGCGGGCACCGATCGGCTCTATCTCTGCTGATTTAATTATTCATCCTCGACCTCACCTGTCTCTTTTCTAACTCCCTCCCCCTCCATCTGTCAGCGGCTGACCTCCTGCCTACAGTTTCGGGTTGGCCATTCTGTGACCAAAAAATAACTGGTGGTTGGGTCGCGGTGTGGGCAGTTACGCGGC